TAATATGAGCGGGTAGTCTGTGTATGAGACCTCTTATTTCAAATGTTTGTTATGGTTAAGGATTATGAGGTATCAGAGCAGGAGTGGATGGTTAGTGGTAGAAGGTGAGCTGGAACAAGGGAGCTTTTAGGATCTTGATGGGAAGAGAGCAAGATTATTTAGCACAACCTCAGAGTTCTTGTGCTTTGCTATTTTCAGTGCCACGTGGCTGTGAAAACAGGGAACATGTGAAACAGGGTTAGAAATGGGAAAGGGAAGGTCACTGTCTTAGTATATGTCCTGTATTGTGGTGTTTGTGGTCAAAGCATAAATACGGGCATTTAAAAACATAGCTGTTCTGTTTTCTACACTGATTTTCCTTGAATAACTCATTAAAGTGCCAGCGACTAAAATGTTGACCAGCCTATTTGCTGCAGCTAGTTCCTTATTTTCAGATGACACATGACTACTAAACCAGGAAACAGAAAAACCTGCTGTTATGATTTTGAGCACTGTATTTAAGGTCTCTTTTTTTTTCCCTCTTCCCCCCCCACCCTTACCTCCTTCAGATGCCTCCTGACAGAACGTGATGGGTTGAGACCAAATTCACCATTAACTGAGCGACTTATTCGGAAGGCATCAGCTGTTCATGTGATGGGATAAATCTTAAATCTGTTATTCCCGTGGAAATAATAATTAGCACTATAATCAGTCGCTTTCTATGACTTTAAAAGAATCAAAATAGGGAAAATATTGCATCAGCAGCCATATCAGATCTTGTAAATATCTGAGCTTTGGGAAGCTAGTTGTGGTGATTCAGCATCGTTGCTTGAGCTTCTGGACACCTCTGATTCTAGCAAGATTCTGACCTAGCTGTGTTGTGCAGGGCAACAGTAGCAAATGAAGTAGATATCAATCATTTGTTTAAAGCATGCTGAGCCATTGCTTTTCAGGAGAGCGCATCAGTCTTATGCTTATCATGTTGCGGGATAACACTGCTATTATAAAGTTCTTAAACATTTTAAAAACCTGCCAAAGTAGGCAGTGGTGTTGCTATTCTAGAACATGAGGGGATGGGTTGAGCTGTCACATGAAGAGCCTTTGAAAAAAGATGACATGTGGGATGTACTAGGGAGGAATAAATGGTGCCAAAATGTGTAGAAAGTGAACTAATATGTGTTGGCTCAAAGTGACTTTTGGGCCTCTCCCCCATGACCATAGAAGGCCCTAGCTCCACAGAACCACTGCTGCAAATAAGGGCAGTATTTGGGACCCCTTTGCTTCCATGTGGTTCTACTCCATTGGGCTCCTAATGCATGTAGAGGTGGGGGAGGAGAGCAGGAATTTGAACCAAGGAATCCACTGACAGTCTTCTCCTATGGACCGGCAGTAGCCGCAGGGGGTGCTTCAGCCATGGAGTTGCAGTAAAGGTCTGGGGAAAGGTGAATGAGGGCTTCTACCACACATAACACAGCCATGCCAGAGTGACACTACCCAGCATGCAGCTAGGTCCTTTTGGCCTGCCTGCAGGTTCCAGGATTTGGCTTCAAGTTCCTCAAAGGCATAATTTTGTATCATTTGCTATTAAAGTCATACAGATATGAACTGATCTTGCAAGTCAACCGTTTCACAGTTGTTAATCAAAACTTCTTACTGCTTGATGTTCTTATTGCATTTTTAATGGAAGTTATATCCTAATAATGCGGCACACTTTTATAACATGAGTGGATAATGTTAGAAAAATCTTTAGGCAATCTATTAAGAATTGTATGGATCAAGGGTCGGCAACCTTTCAGAAGTGGTGTGCCAAGTCTTCATTTATTCACTCTAATTTAAGGTTTCACGTGCCAGTAATACATTTTAACGTTTTTAGAAGGTCTCTTTCTACAAGTCTACAATATATAACTAAACTGTTGTTGTATGTAAAGTAAATAAGGTTTTTAAAATGTTTAAGAAGCTTCATTTAAAATTAAATTAAAATGCAGAGCCCCCCGGACTGGTGGCCAGGACCTGGGCAGTGTGAGTGCCATTGAAAATCAGCTTGCATGCCGCCTTCGGTACGTGTACCATAGGTTGCCTACCCATGGGTATAGATCTTTTTTCGTATGTAACTGTGTTCCTTTGATTAGCATTGAACTGATACCTTACTCCTACAGTGCCATAAATTTTGCTCTTACATTTGTAATGTGATTTATGGCATTCCTAATAGTATCCTAAAGAACTTCATTAAATTCAAGGAGATGGTGATTGATTTTTTTTTTCTGAACTTAGGCATCACCAAAGTGACTAATATATGAAACTGTGCAGTTTTTGAATATTTTCCATACTGGATTTTATTTAGTGTACATCTTTCTTTAGCAGAACTGAAGTCAAGCTGTTCTATACACTCCACCTGTACAAGGAAACTTAAGGATTTAAGGTATCAAGTGGAGCAACATTATTCTCCCTTCCTCCCCCTCCTCAAACAAATCCCATTTTGGGACTCATTTTCAGAAGCGGAATTGGCACCTGAACCGTCTTCCTTAAATAGGTGTTAGGCGTTTTTGTTGCCAGATAGAGAAGATTATAATTTACATTTATCTTTCCCTGCCATCACCCCACTCCTTTATTCCTAGAATGAATCTGCAGTGATTTCTTTTAAGTGTTCTAGATCCATAGTTACTCTTTGCATAGTTAATCTTTGTCAAATTGGAGTGAACTGTAACCACATTAATACTTATGAGTTTTTTATGCTGAACCATCCTAAAGTGCTCTTTGAACTGCAGACACAGTACCAATGAAATGCAGCCATAGCTGAGGTGGAGAGAAGCAACTACCACATACACAGCAGGGGAGTGAAAACTTGTCCAAGGACACTGGCCCCAGCTGTGCCTCCTTCTGCATGGATATTAATGTTGACACTTTTTGTAGAACAAGCAGAACCTCTCTTTAAGGTCCCATACAGATGAAACTGCGTGGTACTACCTTTATCTGCCTCGGAGGGAAGTTGACCCTACACTGAACTTGTACAGTTTGATTATAGCTGATGTAAGCACTTCTCCAGCTGCTGCTTACATTTTATGTTGTAACTAAGCATCATTCCTCCTACCACCACAGCCCACAAGTGTTGCACAAGGCCACAGTTCTGAACTTGTGCTCTCTCTCCACGAAATACCAATGGTGTTCATCTAACAGGCAGACTTCTATCACAAACAAGGATGTTCGTTCATTAGAGAGATGGTTAGTTCAGGGAACAGCTGTGCTAACAGTACTGTGGTCACACCCAAAAGCACTAGGTTGATCAGTCCTGCCTTTTCTGTGCTTAGTGATGGCTACCACATTCTCACAGTAGATTTGAGATTGAAACCTATTTAACAAGGAATATCAGGCAAGGAGGGTGGTCTCTTCCTTCTGTAAATTACCCTGGCAACGGTCACAAGATGTAAAAAAAGAGGGGGGAGGGGAAAGAAACAAGTGGTCCCAACTTTAAACTATCAAACAGCTGTTCAAAGAATTGTCTATAAACCCTAAACACCGTGAGCTGTTTCAGGTTTGTTTTGCCTGTCAGGCCTTGATCCTGATACCACCTTAGCCTTGTTTGTGCTTTCAGATCATTTTAGTTGCATGTTGTTTCTTTTTAATTAAGCTATGCTGATAAACTTGCTATTTGAAAATACAACCCTAAAGAACAAAGGCTCAGATCCTCTAAGCTAGTTTGGTGTTGAAGTCCACCATTTAAACCCCACTGAAATTTCCCAAATGCTGTAGGCATCTAACTTTGTACCAACTGGCACTTTCTAAGCCCTGACATCATCCCACAGCTAATGTGCAGCTCAGGCCTGAAGCAGGATTCTCAAAACTAGGCAGGGGAATGCCTGTTCTCCCAGCATGGCCTTATCCTGTAGGCATAGTATGACCACACTTAAGACCTGTCAGTCCCTGCGGAAGGGCTGGATGCAGGCCATAGATTTGATGGGAGGGACACAGCACCTGCACAAAGAGAGCCTGGGGTACACAGGGAAATGGGGCAAGCTTGAGAGAGGTATTTAGCATGAGCAGGAGACAGAAAGAGATTGTTTGGCTATTACTGTAATGGCTGCCTTACTGGCTGATGACGCTTCGGTGGCTAACTGCAGGAGATGGCTTGAGGCTGAGGATCCCAAGCATAGAGAGCTGCCTGTCTCTGGCCCAAGCCAAGTACATTGTCAGCCATTCAGGTGCCTGCACCCCTCTCCCTGGCATTTCACTCCTGGCTCTGCACTCGGCTTTCTGTCTTCCAAGGATCTCTTTTCTAGGTTTCAAACTCTCCCCGTGCACATATTGTGTGGGGAGCCTAGGTGCATAGCTCGGAGCTGAGGATTCCACTAGACAGCAAGCCAGACAGGGCGTAGGCATTGCAACACTGAGCAGAGCAATGCCTCAGTACCTTTGAGGCCTGGTCTACACTACAAAGTTAGGTTGACGTAAGGCAGCTTACAGTGACCTAACTCTGTACGTGTCTACCCTACAACGTATCTCCCACCAATGTAAGTCGCCCACTACACCCACCTAATAACTCCACCTCCGCAAGAGGCGTAGGGCTTAGGTGGAGATAATTAGGGCAATGCAGTGGATCTGTAGACACTGCATTACTTACCTTGCTTGTTGGCTATCAGCCCCCCCCCCCTGCTCACAGGTGGACCCCCTGCTGCCCGGGGTTGTGAGCGGGAAGTGACTTAGGGGCACAAGTCCCAATGAAACAATCATTTAGGAGCTTTTGAAAATCCCACTCTTAATGTAGTTGATTTTTTTTCTTAGGTGAATAGTTTGAGGCACTGCAGCCTAGGGTAGGAGGCATTCCTGAAAGCCATGATTATGCCAAGTCTTAATAAAAAAAAAATCTAAAGCAGCATAGCCACAGGCAGATCTCTTGAAGCGCAAGCGAAGAGGGGAAGGAGCTGACTGTGGAGACCACAACTGGAACACTGTGTTCCCTTCTGAGCACCTCATCAGTTGGATATAAATTGGAGAGTTCAGAGAAAAAATCATACAACGTGATTTAAGGGGCTAGCAGGATGAAAGACACAAATTCAGTTATCCCAATAACTTGCTTGACTGTGGTTACTTTTGTAATGTCTAATAAAAGATTTAGAAATGTCTCTTCACGCTGAAAAAACCCCCATGATTTATTCCCAAACAATTTTCTGTTTAGCTTTCTAGAAACATATTGCTTAATTGTTCCCTTAGTTTGTCCAAGGGAAATTCCAAGCAGAAACATGTGGGACCATGTTGTCACAGAAGCATTTAATACATGGAAGGGAAATGCATGCACAGTTCTTATTTACTCCAGCAAGGAATCACAGAGGATGGACTTGAACTCTATGCTATGCAGCAATAACTCAACACTGAGAAATAGGTTACTATAAACTCCAACGCCTTTGTTCTTTACAGAAGGTATTCCTTTACAGCTAGATACTGTGCCTATAAAATAGTTTGCTACAGTGTTCTAGGAAATATTTCATGTGATCTTAGAGTATTTGCACAAAGTGACTATTACTCTCACTTTAAAGCTGGGAAAACTGAAAACGAGAGAAGGTAAAGTGACTTGCCAAACATCAGAGCGCATCAATGTCAGAGACAATGACAGAAGCCATTCATGCACCTGCAGGCGGAATCTCACCCATATATCCTCAAAAAAAAAAATTATGACAATTTCCTGTATTTATTTACTTTAGCTTTCAGTGAATAAATTCTTACCCTTCTCTG